CTTTCATTTCCATTTTAATTACCAGCCATTATCTGCCATGAATGCCGCGCTAAATAGCAAGTTTCAGCTCAACAAAACCTCTTGTAATGAATCCTGGGTCGTGACCAATTCAACGATTAAGAGAACGATTGCTTTAGTTTTATCCAACGGGACGGAAAAAGTTCACGGAAAAGAAGTCAAGTTTATTGTACTTTGTCTCATCATTCTTGCTGCGTTGCTCGGAAATGGCTTCATTCTGTGGCTCATTTCTAAAGACAGACGTAGACGACGCTCAGCAACAAACATCTTCATTGCAAGTCAGTGTGTTACTGATTTTGCCACTTCCCTACTCGTCATTCCATTTGGCGCCGCTTCACTCCTCCAAGGTGGCTGGATGCTTGGTAAAGGCTTTGCTATAGGGGTCTGTTTTTTAAACATGTTCTTCACCGCTTTAACACTTCTCCACCTAGCAGTTATAGCACTTGATAGATACTTTGCCGTTGTGAAGCTCTCCCATCACCTTATGAAAAAGCGCACTGCTTTATGGATTGTCATAGGTTGCTGGACAACGGCTTTTATGACGTCATTTCCTTGGTTACCATTGCTAAGCGACAAAGTCGTGGCTGAGTACTTTAGAGGATTTCTTACTTGCGGACAAAGGTTTTTACGTCCGTCAGGTGAAATTGGATTATTTGTATYTATATGTGCGGTTATCATGGGATTCCCACTGGCTGTCATTACTTTCAGCTTTTACAGTATCGGCAAGAAAATAAAAAGCAGCCGTTGCATTACTATGCCAGTGACTCTGTCCAATGTTCAAACGCTCCAACTCGATGCCTACGCTAAATCAGCTTATACGTCATTTATTGTCACTCTTTCAAGTCTTATTCAAGTTTTCCCGGCTTGTATAATGATGGCAATAGATGGCATGCAGTTGGTGCGGATTCCAAACGATGTTGCCACAGCTGCAAAAATTGTTATGTGGAGCCATTGTGCATTCAAACCAATAGTTTACACTTTACGAAAGAAAAATGTCGCATTTGGAAGAGCTGGTGCATATCTAAAATCATTCCGCCAAAACTCTTCTTCTAAAACACAAAGAAACAACGCATATATTGTTGCTTTATTCCGGGTCAACGGTGATGCCAAAGAGACTAGAAAAGATGAAGTGGGAGAAAATGTTAATTGTAAAAACGAATCAATTTCTCCTTATATCTTTTACTCGTGTAAGAAACCCGAGAATAGCATCGAAAATGATTCTGAATTTGATGATATACTAACAATAGTTAGTATCTGAAAGACATATACAGCTTACATGTTTACTGTAGAGTTTACTGCATAAGTGGCCGTAATATTTTATAAGGTGTGTTTAGGTGCTTAAGGTATCTCTAATATTATGTCCCTGAGATATCGCGGAAAAAATAGGCTTAATTCGTTTGAAATATCTGTTAAAGCATTTTCCTGGATTTCCCCATAAAACGCATAAATTAAATCCGATTTTTACAAACTTTACTCAATATGAATTTGAATCCCTTGTTAACCATGTAGTAAAATATTATTACGATTTGACTCACTTAAATTACTTTTTTATCCGTTTCTTTATCTCCCGGTCGGAGTTCTCAACAACTGTATCCAGATACCTTAAAAAAATAACTTGTAACTTGAAAGGCCTTGAAATATATAATATTAATAAATTGAAATTGAATTGAATTAAGCCCGTATACAGAGGCGAATGTTAAACGTTTATTTATCTTTACAAAATGATTGTCGCCCGCAGTCAAGTAAAGTAGAGCAGATTTTATTAATAATCCAGTTTMGAATTCTGCAATGCTCTGTGTTATAGCCTCATTTGTGCGCAAAATATTTCTAATTGTGAGAATAAAAGTGTGAGATTTCAAATCAATTCCATTGTCTTTCTTTTCAAATTCCATGCGTTTTCTCGGGCTATCAATGAAACAAAAGAATATKTTACTTKGTTTTGAGCTAACACAGAGCAAATCGGAGTATTGCGCTTATGAATTCAATCCACGAGTTAMGCACTGCTTCAATTGGGCTTCCTGTGGAGCTGCGCTCAATGCATTCTGGTTATGGCGGGAAATTGAAGATGAATTCTCTAATGTGTTGGTTGTTTTGTTTAAAAACCCACTCAAATTTGAATGATATGTGAATCAAATTATGATATTGTTTCTATTAATGGACAATTGTAAGTCCATATGCTATTCAGATGTATTTAGCTGGACGAGAAGATCTTAAATCGCGTTAAAACTGAGCCGGAAAGTTCCAAAGCGATTCAAGATGGCGGCTGTTGCTTGAGCAATTTCCGGTAAGTTTGACTAAGTGTTTTGAGCAGCTATGTTTTAAATATGATCAAGTCAACAATAACCAGATATTATTAATCTATGAACAAGTTTGTATGCAGTTTTCCTACATAAGCTTAACATGATCAGCTGGAAATCTGTTGGTCAAGCAATTTTTTTCAACTTTAGTGTCTTGTAAAACAAGAGAGAAGCTTGTACTGTTTAAAAGTAAGAGTAAATTCTTTTAAGGCTTCTCGCAGTATGCGGTTTGCCTCAACTYTGGGAAAATGTAAATTGTTAGCGTCATAGTACTTACAACATTTTCTCATGCTTTCTTTTGTGTTTGGTAATGCCTTTGCTGAAGCTAGAATCTGTTGTCAAATAAAACAGGGTATGGGGAAGAGGCATTTATTTGCATTGAGAAAAATGTTTGAACCTTTTGTATTATTGTCTCATGCAACCACATGTAATCATTCAAAACATTACTCTCTCATTGACAGAAATCTTGCAGACTTTTAAAGGATTTTATATACAATGCCAAGATGATACTATGTGCCCTGAGTAATGTTTTCGGTGAGTGTCAGGCATTGTTATAYTGCATTTTCTGCAATGATTATATCAATATTCCAGTTTCGAATTCATAGCAAAAAAAGATGCTGTATTATTTGACAGATTCTCTTGTGCGAAGAGCTGATTAAACACAAAAGAGATCATGAGAAAATGTGAGTAGGGATTGTCATACACATTCCATATGTGGTATTAACTAACAAGCATATAGCGATCCCTAACAAGCAAATAGAAGCACCTAACAAGCGAATAGCGGTCCCCAAGGAATCCCAATTTAACGGTGCTTTTAACAATGCAAAATACTTTAAATGTCACAAACAATTTGTTGCTTGCCAGCATAATCCCTCATGTCAAGTTACATAGTTAAGGCGCTTTACCTTTGTAGCTCTAGTCAAAGGGTTAGGTTTAGGGAAAAGGACGGTCAGGCTACAAAATGTTAAATTCATAATTATTCTAAGTTAAAATTTGATAAGAAAAGTTAAGGCGTAGCTAAAAAGTTTGAATAAGTCGATAAAAAACTGTAGAAAAATATACAAGTGAAAAAAAGTTTGAACCCCTGTTCGCTTGTTAGGTGCTTCTATTCGCTTGTTAGTTTGTTCTATACATTTGTGCCATATATGGAATACATGCTACAAACCCGCCTCGAAAATGTTGTTTTTAYWATAGCCTTGAAAATTTGCATATTTTCCCCCCGAGTTGAGACTAACCCTGTATTCCCATAAGACCTAAGGTATGAAACTTCTGGGAATACAGGGTTAGCCTCAACCTGRGGAAAAATGTACTTACAACATTTTCTCGTGCTTTCTTTTGTGTTTGCATTTGATAAGTTCTTTGTGTAGGAGAATCTGCTGTCACTAAATTAAACAGTGGTTAATTGCTTTGTATTCAAAAATGGAGTATTATGCGAGGGATTTCTTGCTTTTTTTAGAATTGAGACTTCAGCTATGTACTTTTTCTTTCAACTTTGTTAAAAAAATGGTAAGTACAATTTGGTTGTTTTCACAAATAAATCTTCATTTTAATTAACACCCTATCTTTTCGAGTGAGCGTGGCGAATGAGCAAGAGATTGTCAAAAAAGAAAATAAAGCAAATTAAAAGCAAATAACATTACTTAAATGAAATACGATTGATAATATTATTATTGATATTGTTGTTATAACTGGAAAATTTAATTATATGACCARTTTATCATATAATTATCTATGAAATACMTATATTTCTCCATTTCGTAAAATTGATATTTTCACTAGTGAAAATA